TATAGCATCACTGTAATTACAGGCACAAGTTATACCATCATGTAACTACTGTAATCGCAATTTTTGAAACATCTATCACGATTATGAAATGCCAAAAATGTGTCTTCTCAAATAGAGTCAACACAAACAGCTGAACCATTTTGCACCTTGTTTCTCAGCCAAAGTAAAAGTGAAGCTTTTTGACAGCTGAATTTCAAACAACATATTTTCCAAAAAAAAAAAGGTTTCAGTGGGGTTTTTACAAGAACAGTAGTTCTCAGAAAAGGAGAATACACTTCACGCATTGCCCTAATCATCTCTCCCCCCATGGTCCAACTGCCCATTTTCTAATCACCCTTTGAGGCACGTCTGTAATAACGGCTGTTGAGTGGAGGAGCTATTAAAATCAGTTTACAATCCTGTATTGCAGCAGCGAGAAAGAAAGGCACAGTCAGACAGAGGAGAGGAAAAAGAGCCCCTAAGGGTGCATGGATAAAGAAAAGAGGTGTTTAAAGGACATTAAAAGCACTTAAACTGCTCAAGTCAGTGTGAAGGAGATGTTAGAAATAACAGCCTTTGCATATGGTGCTTAAACACTTGCTTGCAAATACTAGGCCTAAGAAGGCCAAAGAACCACCAGACATCAGAATTTTGAAGTTTCAATGACAAAACTAAAACTGTCCATGTGTTCGCTGTTTTATTTAACCTTTATTTAACCAGGAAAAAACCTTTTGAGGTTTAACATCTCTTTGTCAAGAGTGTCCTGGTCATGACAGGCAGCAACATAAGTTACAGACAGACAACACAAACAAAAAATACAAAATAAAAATCTACACATATACACTCGGTATCAGAGAACTACTTACTTATACTTTTGACAACCTTACTTGTGCTGGTTTAGTATCACACCACATCTGTTTTTTTCATCTGTTACATACATTATTAATTATGAGTCTTACGCTATTCTGGATTTCCAGTAAAGTGTAAAGACAAGGCAGCGTCACTGTGAGTGGATTTTAACTTCCAGCAGAGTGATCAATAAGAGAAAGCAAAGGCGAGTGTGTGTGTGTGTGTGTGTGTGTGTGTGTGTGTGTGTGTGTGTGTGAGGGAGAGAGAGGACCTTGGCTGTGCCCTTGTTGATGTAAGTAACACTGTAGCAGTCAAAGGGGTTGAAATCCAAACCATTCCATGAGGCTCCCCCGCCAGCCGGTGACACCTTGTCCCCTTTGTGTATGCATGTGTATGTGTTTGTGTGTGTGTGCATGTGTGTGACATCTGACAAGGTCTTTGGGTGTTTAAACATCATTAATAGCTGCACTATTCTCTCACTTTCTGTTTGTTTCTAATCATAAATCTTTTGGTCTGATCTTGTCATCTTCATGTCATTTAACTTTTATTGCAAACACACACATGAAACACACGTGAAAGGATTTTCTGTTTTCAGTTTGTCTAACGTGTTAATTTGCTGTTTTTAGAAACAATAACTTGAAAAACCAGTGAACTGCACAGATTCAGTATTGCCATATAGACATGGGAATAAAAGTATTATTGAGTGGTAATGAAAATGTGCTAGTCTGAGTCACCAAATGTAGACTGTGGCTATAAGCCTTCACCTGGGCCCAGAATTCTCCCTTCCCTCCACTGTCTGTATGTGACCGTTTCCATAGTCCCTTCACCACAGGAAATAACGACAACCTCCGGGCCAACAACGTGCGCACTGACAATGGCCTGTTTTGACAAAGATTTGGATTGTCCAAAAGGCACACCTGCTTTGTTCTTTCAGAGAATTATTGTTAAGATCTACAACGAATAAAACAACCTGTGACAGCCAGTGACATTGACTTCACCAATGTACTGATCCGTTCCACTTCACACAAGCTTCTGTGATATCAGCATAATAATGTTCTTATGGAGCCACATACAGTCAGCAAACCGTCTGGCTTTTTAACGAGTCCAGTGAGCTCCTCCAGAGCTTAAGTACAGTCAGGCTTCACCTCCAGGGCACTGATTATTAAATTGTGTTTGCCTTTCTTTTACCAGTAAGTTTAATCACACTATCTTTTGCACACTGAGAATGCTCACTTCCCCATGTGCAAATGTTCCAACAAAACAAGTCCACCCAGACACTGTTTTGTGAGACCACCATTGTTGCATCCTGGGTTTAGTGACCCAAGACGAATGTGACTGGATTAAGAAACAAAAACAAGCCAGTTTTTTCCCCTAAAGCAGAAAGAAAATTGGTTATTCCAGACCAGAGATAGCGCTGGCTACACAAGACTTTGCCTTGGCTATCCTCAGAAACGCAAATTTGCATCCCGTAGAGCTACAGAGAGTTACTACTAGCCACTCAATAAAGTCGAGCACTTAAATAATCAGTTTTAGCAAAAACAGGGCAGAAACTGAAATTCTGTTCCCATTGTTTGTCTTTATTGATGATACATCAGCCTAACTCAAATCACACCACTAAAATCATCTTTGCATCCAGTCTGAATGTACCTGAAGTAAATCCACACTTAAAACTGAATACTAGGTTGAAGTGCTACAGCTATGTGCTTAAATCTGTACTTCTTCCTGGACATATTTACATAGCAGCCAGAGAGGGTGTGGTAGGATCAGTGCAAGTAGAGACTTCTACCGATGCTCTATTAAATTACTGTCAAGAAAATGGAGGCGATGCTGCCACAAAATAAGCTTTAGTGTCTGGAAAACCTCCATCCGAATATTTTTTAAGTATAACTGACTCTGGCATTTATTGACTCATAATATTGTCCAAGCCTCTTAGTTGTCAAATTAAATAAAAACAGTATGAATCAGGGTAGTGCAGTGTCACGTGTACTGCAATGATATTAGAACTTGTAGCATTTATATGTAGTAAGTTACAGACGTCTAATATAAAAGACACTTAAATGGGATTGTCTCTGAAAAGAAAAAATAAACATAACGAGCCAGGTGAGTAACTTAGCATAACGTGCACTTGAGGGAATAACATTTTCATTGACATCTTTCCTATAACTTTGTCAGTGCCTCATTTCAGCACTGAGGATGTAATCAAAAGCTGGGCACAGATTAATATTTCATTAATTTCATGTGGTCAGAAAGATGGGAAAAACATCCTGCATATCAAAGTGTAGATGCTGGAATAACTAGGTAGTTCTTGCCCTGCATGTGAGATATGAATGTAGCTTTGGGCCACACTGCAGACTTCAAAGGATGTGCAGGGAGGAAATAAGCCAGCCGTACAGGCAGCATGAAATACTGAGGGGCATCTGTGCACGTGCACGTGTTTCTTTAGGTTTATTTTTGAGCCAGTTGCCACAGATGCATGCAAATGTGTGTGCACGCTTGTTTCAATTAGTCTTTTTGGTGCTAATGTGAGCACTTGCACACACAGACATATATGTGTGTATATTTGTGTGTATAGTTTATTCCCAGTTGGCAGATGACCCCTCATTTACATCGTTTTGAAGTCTTCATTAAAGTTTTCCTTGAGCAGCCCTCAGGAAAAAAATCATATTTTAGCCACACGACTGATAAAGCTCTAAGAATATTGAAGTCATCACTCTGTTGTTGATAACCTCCAAAATTGTTCTTCATGGTAGACATGTATTGCAGCCTCTGGCATCAAAAGGTTTTGGAGTTGCAACAGTTATGGAAATCCATGGGCTTGAAATCATAAAGTTCCAGATGATCACATCATCAACCTTAAACATTTTCAAAGAGCAAAATCAATTGAAATATGGGGCATCTTGGTGACTTAGTGGTTACGAGGCATACAAAAGGGAAGAGGTTGGGATGGATGGGTCAAACAAACACAGGACTTTGACACATGAGACCTCTGTTTGTGTCCCATGTGTAACCAGAAGTCAGTGTTGAGTTATTTTAACTTGCATACACAACCTAATGCACTTTTATTGATATAGCTTACTTACTTTAACTTAGGTACATAACTTAAGTCACGAAACAAACATGCTTATTTTAACACAAACCACAGTCTTTTCTTAAATCTATCTAATCTATCTATCTATCTATCTATCTATCTATCTAGGTTGTATATATCATTTTGGGAGTCACTGACAAATGATCTATTCTGTGATTTAGGTATGAGGACGTGTTGGATAGTTCAGTAAAATCATATCCCAACTTTGCCCTATCTTTTTTTATCAAGAAAGTATACCATTTTTTGGTATTCTTTCAATAACTTTTGAGGACTGTTATTTTACAGCACTGTTGTTTGTATCACTAATTGATAATTTAAAAAACACTTTCCAAATGGTTTGTTTTATTTTATGCATGTTTGTAATCCTTTGGTTGAATAAGGTCCAATCAGTGCATTATTTGTGACATAACAACAGCTTGTGACAATTTTGCTTATCATGTGTTAATTACAGACCTGCATAAATGCTCATAACAATAGGCTCTGAATTTAAGACAATGCCTGACAAAGTGCTGTGAAACAGAAGGGCAGAAACGACATACCCACTCCAACACATTTAGTATTTTGATAATTATATGATTAATATTTATACAAAATTAAAAAAAGAAAAAGAAAAAAAAAGCAGTGTTCGAATACCAACCAACCAATGAAAATCCGAACAGTCAAATATTAAGATCCAGCCCTTGTATCTTTACTGTCAAAGTATCCAGTAAAGCAGAAAATGCCAAAAAACCTTAATAAAATCTACCAAACAACACTGCTTGACAAAAGTTGAAGTCAGGCAAAACTCTACTTCACATCGGTTCAAATCACATCAACAATCAAAGCCGAGCCTGCCAATAATCATGATGTAAACACATGATGCAGAGATTTCCTGATCAAATCTAAACAGTGCAGGAACAAATATTCACCAAAGACCATAGTAACATGTGCTAGTAAGAGTTAGGTGTGTTGGGGAAAGGAAAGGGTACATGCTGTGTCCATGTCTAGGATAAAAAGTAACTGCATAAAAAGCTGGATCTGAATGAGACATCAAAGCAGACTTGCTGTCAGTTGGATGTGGTTGTCTCCAGCTGTCTGAACTTACCTGGCTGCGCAGTGCAGATGGATGTGAGTAAAAGGAGGGGTGAGCTGTGGAGCTGGCTGGTAGTGCCTGCAAGCTGGAAGTAGTTTTATGCTGCAGCCTGACACCATCACTGTCTTCAGCACAGTTGCTCTTCCAAACCATTACCTGTAGGATGAAAGCAAATCATTGCTTATTTCAAAATAATACAAATTACCAACAATCCTACAAACAAAGAATGAAATGTGCCATGTAAATAAAGTTTTGCTTTCTCTTTAAGAAGTTCTTAATTAATTGTTTTGAGTGTTGTTTGATGAAATTGTCAATACACCTTTCTGCATCACTATCAGTTGTATGAGCAAGACATATAATATGGCTAATCAATAGGCTATATCTGGTCAGGATCACCTGTTCATCAGAACCTCCAGAGGCAAAGTACTCTCCTGTCCTGGAAAAGGCCACGCAGGTCACTGGACCCTGGAGTGAGGGGAAAGAGAAAAAGAGAGATGAAGAATGAAGATGATACTAGAAGACCGTCCTCCCCCAAAGAATGACTGCACAGGTAAGCTGTACAAGCAGCTTTTTACAACCCATATTTACGTTTACTGTTAGGTGGTAACGACTCGGTGTTACATACAGGCCCTCTGCCTGTATTTTTTTAATTTTCTTCCTGTTTGCTACAGTCAGGATGTTCCTGGGCACAGTGCTCAGGTGGGATGGAGACTTTATAAAAGAGTAGCGACCAGGTGCCAGGCCAGCAGCACGGATCCAAGAGGAGGCTACAAAAATCGCAGCAACTAAACAAACACAAATATAGCAAATGACTGTGAATCTGGGGTTGGTTTTTTGCTTTTGCTGGTGATATTTTTTACAGACAAAAAACAGCAACTCCTGTGAAGTTTACCTTTCAAAAAATATGGAATGAATTAATTTTCAAATTGACAAACAATATGGCTACAAAGAAAGTATAGATGTTAATATCAAAAATGGGAGGAAGTAAGCACTCCATAAATTAACACTCATGTCAAAGGTTATATACATGATGTACAATGATGAGATGGAAGCTGGAGACTATGTGTTTTTTGTGTCTATAGCTCATAGCATTAGGAAACTCTGCCTCTTTGAGGAAAGAGAATTATGTTCAAGAACAGCAGCTCCTGCATGTGTGTGTGTTTCTGTGTGTGGAGGAAGGAGTGGGCGTGTGGGGCTGAGGCAGAGCAATCAATAACAGAAAGCGGAGACTCAGGTGAGGTGAGGTCACACATGGTCAGAGCCAAAAAGGATCACCTGCAGATGTCAGCTTGGCATGTTGTGTGTGTATGAACCTGGAGCGCAGACAGAATCCAGCTTGAAAAACTCAGAAACCTTTTCTTCCCCTCCCTTTTCTCTTCATAACAATGCAGAATAGGGTCAACGATTACAGCCTGAGCCCTCTGACTGTGTTCAAAGAGAGGATGAAGGAGAGAAGAAATAAAAGACGGGGAGAGGAATGGAAGGGGAGGCTGCTGGGAGGAAAAAAAGGAGCTGTGTGTCCTACGGCTGGCACCCAGACAGGCTGGTTTGGGTGAGGAATGGTTTCCCAGAAGCACCTGAGAGAAGCAGACAGTGTCACTATGGCAACGCGACGGCCTGACAGACAGCATGTTCTGTCTCTGCTCTGACTAATGCCTGCTGCCAGGCTGGCACTTGCCATGGCCAGACACACACACACACATATACACACACACACACACACACACATACACAGAGAGAGGGAGGGAGTCTGACAGGGCAATGAACCTCGCTGGCACATTTTATGTACTGATAAATGAACAGGGGTTGCAGAAAGCAGACAGGCCCCACACGGTGCTCTCCATAAAGTTATGACTAACAAAACTGATTACATGCTTGAACTAGTTATGTTTTGTACGCAGTTATTTCTTTAAAATATACATTTAGAGCCGTTAAAGAGGGTTACATTTATGTATGACTGATCCACTGTGTCCAGTCCATGCTGCTATAAAACTGTAATGATGCGGTCTCGTAGTGTTTCTAAAATAATATTTAACATTTCCACAAGCGTTTAAAAAGAATGTCTTGAATGTGAATGTCTCCAGTTACATTTAAAGGAGATAAACAGGCATTCAATTTAAAAAGTTTCCATGTCAGAATTGACACTGTGGAGAAAGTTCTGCACTTTCCTCCCACTGTAAACACATACAGTATATCACACATAAATGGCACTCAGGAGCATTAAGATTCCAACCAATAAAATCTATTCATAGATTTTAGGATGTTAACAGTAGAACTCTGTCGTCACAGAAAACCTGCAGGTCTACATTTGTCCTTTAACTCACACTAGCACCAGTAACGTGTTTATATTTGGGCGTCACCTTGCAACAGCAATGCAAATTGCACTGAAATGAACAGATGCCATCTTGGTACACCATAGGCATTTATTTTAAAGGTACCCCGTGGAGTTTCCTGTAAACAATCAAATCCAACACATTATGTGTATCCTTAATGCCAAATAATTTCCTTTATCAAAAAACTAATTTGGAAAGAATATGAAATCCACATTGTTTACATCCATTCGCCTGCTTGAAGTCCTCCTCTGCCTCGTCTTTGTTGGGGCATTGTTACATTTCTTACCACGACTAACTGTTGATAGGTGGAACAGCATGAAAGCTTTAGTAGGACTGTGTATCACATCATCCATATGCACTACGCACCAAGCACAACAGTGACCCACTCTTGAAAGCATTGCTTCATTGCACTCCTACTGGTAAAAAAAAATCCACAAGGTACCTTGTACTGAGAAAACAGAAGAAAAGGACTGTGGCATTCACATTGATTAAGAGGTAAAAAACTAACAACCAACTACCAGAATGCACAGCACTGCACATGACCAATAAACGCACTACCAGTGGTTGGCATAATGCAAGCTTGTCTGTTTTGACATAGAAAGCAATATGGCCGCCAGCTGGTAACAAACAATCTCAAATAATGGTTAAAGGATTAGCTAGAATATGTTTCTGAAGACATTTTAGAGGAGAAATAAGCAACGCATTAACAGAATATTGGTCTATATTTGATCAGCACTGCTTAGTTTTACCAACTGATTGGAGTACGATCCAAGTTCATAAGGGAAAGAAGAGAGGCGGGTCTTTCTCTTGATCTGCTTCTATACTCTTTGTGTCTGTGTTGGCGGGCATATGAAAATGCTAGTGTTCAGTCTATAGTTAAAGCCCTAACTATAGCCCTATTATATTTTAAAAGCTCAGATTTCACACACTACTTGGCTACTGAATCAAACTGCATCCACCAACAAGCGTTTGTCAGGTTAGGAATGACATCTTGTAGAACGCTAATGGCTGCATGGCAACTAGCGGCACCTTGTGGGTGTTACAGGAATTGCATTCTGTCATCAACGCTGGTTAGCACTGATGATGTTTTTGAGGACGCAGTTTAGCAATTTAATGTGGAATTGAGATGTGTATAATTTTCCTGTGCGGCCCTCAATCATTTGCTGGCTTCGTGAATGGGCATTTAGTCACAAAAACTTTGAGCACCCCAGCTTTTATAAAACAGCATGAAGGCTATCAGTATAATTTTTTTCTTTGCATACTTAACTTTTAAAATCAAATCTCACCTGACATTATTTTACATCTTACAACCAGTTTCAATTAGCAGTGCATTTAAACACTTGCATCTCATCTCTTTCACAGGGTCTTTAAAAGTTAAAGTGTACTTGTGTACAAAGTTTAAGGCTTTCTTCATTAAAAAGTTTGGGATCACACTGTGAAAGTCAGTTGTCAGACAGCAGAGCAGAGAGACAAATTAACCTAAGTTTCGCTGATTCTACCCAGCCAGGTAAGGAACCCCTGAGGCGAGATAAACAACACGTTTGTCAGATCCAACAGAAAAAACACTCCCTTAGAGCCCTCATGTGTTTTCATATAGAGTACATGCACACGGGTGTGCACACATACACAGACAAGCAGACACATAAACACATATAAACCTACACACCCACACTGAACAGATGGGGGTCTCTCCCATTTTCAAGCTATGCGACTGGAGAGACAATTAACACCCGGAGCGCTCCCAGCACCAACAGATTGGCAAAGTCACCACTGAGCCAAAAAGAACAACAACAGAAACGGAGACAGAGTGAAGGAGATGACAAATTTGGAGGTGTGAAGCTAGAAGGGGGGAAAAGTGCTTTTTTATCTTGACAAAAAGAAGAATGTTGGCAAGCTGCTGAAGAGAAGTACGACAAAAGACTCAGACAAAAAAAAGCCAGAAATGAGAGACGGGCAACGTATACAAAGGGACAGATAAACAGATGGACCACATGTGGTACTGGCAAGCCACCGATTTCCACAACTAGCCAGCAAGCCAGTCCATCAGCTGTTCAAACAAACAGATACAGTCAGCGAGTCGTCCGGCCTACTGGTCCAGCCAGCCAAAATGTGAGTGCACGAGAGGTGGGAGCTAATAGAGAAGGACAGGGAGGAAAACGAAGATGGTAATGATGGCGGCAATGCTGAAACATCCCGATAACGCACAAAGAGGAGTGGTAAAGTCGTAATAAAAGGACGGGACAGAAACGGAGAGGAGGAGGAAGAGAAGAAGAGGAGGAGAGGATCCAGAGAAACGGAGGCAGAAACACAGTTCTGTTTCCTTCCAACAACCCTGAGATGAGTCATCATGAGTGGGCAGCCCGCTCGCCTGGCAAGTACTAAAATACACCACGTACAAAAAAGGCATCATACGCACACACGCTCACACACTTCACAGAATCAAACATGCACAAAGGAGATGTCAAACACACTCACACGTAACTGTCCACACCAAACCTTACACACACACACACACACACACACACTGAGAAACAGCAGACTACAGACATGACCTATCATGATCATGACTGGGTTAACTGCACAGTTAGGCCTGTAGGATATATAAATGGTATCCATGTGTCATAAGCGTGTGTGTGTGTATGTGTGTGTGTGTGTGTGTGTGTGTGTCTACCTGGTGTCCATGCAGTGTATACAGTAGCTTGCCCTCTACAAGGTCCAGTATCTTCACTGTGGAATCGCTGGATGCAGTGATGAGGAAATTACCAGCCGGGTGGAAAGACAAGCTGTTCACCACACCACTGTGGACTGAAACACACACACACACACACACACACACACACACACACACACATTATGACAGGACTAGAACACACTTTTTGTTATTGTAATTCAAATGTGTATCATTGTGCAATTAAAGACATAAAGTAATTGTACTGTATTTTGCAGCTTTAAAAATTCCCTTTTTCTGCCTGTTAAATAATTTGGAATGATTATGATTGACTGATTGATTATGATGAACATTATTATGATGACAATAACAATGTCTGTGGCACAGTTTAAAGATATATAACATTTGAGATATAGACAAAATAATTAACGTTTGTCAAAGTTAATCCTAAAAAATCTAAAGCCACTTGGAAATCTTTACCTTTTCTCTCTGAAATTTAACATTAGATGACAATTCTATTTATACACCAGCACCTAAGGGGCATTTAAGAGTTAGTGTCTTGCTCAAGGACACTTCAACAGGCCAGATGCTTGCTATCATGGTTGCCTGGATCCCACTAAAGTGCACTGCTGCTGTACATCAGGCTGCCTTAGTTGCTGTGTCACTTGAGAATGGCTCAACATCAGGTTTACATTAGCATCAAATTATTACGTCAAGTATAGCAGCCTATAGCAGCAAATCAAAACTTCCCTGGACCTGAAATCAATCTACCATGAGGTGACTGGGTTCTTGACTGAGACAAATAAGAGGAAGGCAAGTCATTCGACAAGCAACATGTTCCCTCTGCTGGCTGCAAGGTGCTATGACATGTATAAGATGTGCTGAGACCTCTAGGTGCAAAAAAATGCTGGAAAAACAGCATCCAGCTATACCGAGATCAGGGGGAAGGTAATATTTGGGTATGGCTTAGGTTTATGCAAGAGTAGTGAGCAATGTAAACACCTCAATAAAATCAAAACCAGTTGATTTACCCACCAAAGAGCAGGCAAAATGACTAGGAGAACAAAGACAACTAAACATACCCATTACCAATAATTCTCCTTTGTCTCTAACAGTAACCACACCACATTTTAACCACAATTACACGCTTTAGACTGGCACAGTTGGTGATCAACTACAGTATGTAAAGTGAAGCACTATGAAAGGGAGAGGAGAGAAAAAGCTTTATCTTCATGCCCCATCTCCTCAGACAGATGTGATTATCCATTATTAGATCTCACAACTCAAATCCATTTAAGAGAGCTGATTAGAACAATCAGACTGAGAGGCAGACTGACAAAAGGCATCAACATTTGGCTTATTGACTATGCAAGGAATCTTGATTACCACTTGAATCGTGAGCTTTAAAGCTTAATTTTACCTCAGTGTTATTTTGGTAATTCGCTGCACTTTTCACTGTGTTTAAAGGTGAGGCTTTACTTTAGCTGTGTTGCAGAGTCTGGTGGAAGTGGATGACAAGACTTTGACTGTTTGCCATAAAATATATAAGCCAAAAACAAACACTGGGCTGTGGTTTTGCAAGTGCCTTAGGGATTCAGTCCACTACAAAAGTCTGTAGAGCTCGCCTGTGTTGTTTAAAGGTCCAGTATGTATGTTTATTAGTTTATAACCACTTGAAAATAAGAATTACTGTGTTTCATTACCTCAGAATAAGCTGTTTATATCTACATAAGTAGCGCGTGCTATTCCACAGAGTCTGCCATGTTGTTTCTACCGTAGACCAGAACGCACAAACCAGACATTGGCTCTAGATAGGGTCATTCACGTTCACACATTGGCCACCATAGTTCTCCTACTTGTGCATTACATATCACAGCACAGAAGGAAGAATGCATCTACTCATGGAGAGAGGCTTGTGTTCATGACAGCATGAGATGTAAACATTAATGGTGTCCTCCCTAGCTAAGCTGTAACGCTAGCTCCCTCAGTGGTGCTAGGTGAGCTTGAGATAGATGTAAGCAATCTAAATACTTCCTTTATACAGTTTTTGAGTCTTTACCTTGGTAGTGCTGTAACATCTTATGAGATCTGATGTCCCACACCTTGACAGTGTTGTCAGTACTGGCTGCAGCGATACATGTTCCACTGGGATGGAAGTCCACATGGTTTGCATAACTTGAGAGACAGAAAACATGACAACTTAAATGAAGACACGTCATTATTAAAAGTTAAATTATTATTTGTTCAAGCTTTTAAAGTATTTAAAATTTGTTATTCCAGCAGGTTAATTAAACTAACAAAAAAGCTTTAATCAAAAATATTACTTGGAGACACCCACTAAAGAATATTTCCTGCTCCTATGTATGTTTTACACTGTTCAAAAACACTCGACATGTGAGGCTTTTAGCGGATGCTTTTAGACACGTTTGTAATGAATGAGTAGGTGTTCAGTGGTTACAGGGATATTGACAGAGCACATGGTTATGGGACCTGTCACTTTTTTCAACTGTTGTTGCTGAAACATGAGTGTTAATGTTAATGTGTTAACCCTAAACATTTACAGTCATACCAGAAGAAACACTGACAAACAGATGTAGATTCCTGCAATTATTTCTCCCACACATATCAGAACATTTCTTATCCAGATTCTTCCATGCATCTTCTTTTTGGTCTCAAGTGCTCACCCAGCATGTTCATAGAAAGAATGAATGCACTCTCTGCTATTCTTGTCCCACAGCTTTATGGTCTTGTCATCGCTGGACGACACAATCAAGCGATCGTCTGGAGAAAATCTGCAAAAATGTATTGAAAATTCTAGATCAAAAGCTGTTCATTATCTATGTCTTCAGTTTCACGTTTAATGATGACATGTATTCATTTAAGTTGTAAAACAATTCAGAAATGTATAAAATCTATCTATATGTGACAACAACAAACAATAGAATAAGCAGAAGTATGAGCAGCAGCCAGTATTTTCTAACTGGGAAAACTGTATGTATGTATGTGCATCGTACTTGGCACAGCGGACCCAGTTGATGTGCTGGCTGAGAGAGAAGAGAAACTTTTGTCTGTGGACCGTCCACACTTTGATAGTCTTGTCGTTAGAGGCTGTGACCAGACTCTGTCCATCACCAGAAAAGTTAACGCTGCGCACGGTGGCAGTGTGAGCCCTGAAAGCTGTTGACTCAGCCTTCCTGTAAACACACACACAAACACCAAGACAAAGTTTAAAACAAACTATCAAAAACCAGTGGGTGTTCAGAAATGTGTGCCTTCTTCTGTGCTGGCAAAGGAGATTCAGTACAACTGTCTAGCTTTGTTGTTTTTATGAGTCAGCATCATTGTCCTCTGCAACAGCTTTGTAGTGCACTACAATAATAATGAGAGATGATAGTGAGACACGAAACAAAGCAAAAGATGGAACACTTCCAAACTCACATGCTGGGCACCCAAAGACGTACAGTCTTGTCTCTGGAGGCCGAGGCCACCAGGTGGCCGGAGGGAGAAAACTGAACAGACATGACAGCATCTTTGTGTCCGTCAAAACGATACGCTCGCATCTGAGGTTTCATGTTCCAGATCATCACACAGGAGTCCATAGAGCCTGTGGCTGGGGGAGGAGGGAGCACAAGTGTGTGTGAACTCAACACATTATGTATAAATGCAGAAAACATACCATACAGAAAATAAAATAACACATTAAACAGGTGCGGCAAATAATCTGGCCACAAATAGACATAAAGAGTAAAATTAAGTAGCAGTTACCAATCTGTTTCATGTTGCAGCTGAAGTCCACACTCGTCACAGTCTCCCTGTGACCCTTGAAATGTCTCTCTAGAGTTGGATCAGACTATAAGGAGAACAGAGACAGATTGCAGCGGCCACATATTAAAGCCTGTGAAAACTTGATTCAAATTTTAAGTATTACTCAGTAACATAAAACAGTCATGACAAAATAAGCAGTAATTAAAATTCTGCTTCATCAGGACTGTGTGGGAGTGTGATATGATCGGCAGCAGCCTGGCAACATAAACAAACAACCCTATAATTGTCATACGTAGCTAGAAACTGATAACATTCTCTGCAATGAGTTAAGAGTTTGTGGCAGACTGTAATCTCTTTTCAACTCAGCTTGTAGGCATGTAAAGCAGGGGAAACCTTTTCATCTGCTACGTAATATGAGCTAAATTGCCAGGAATGCTATGTTTTTGACAAAGTCTATGTGCCGTGCTGCCCAACTTAGCAGCATCGTGTCTGTTAGCGAGGGTTAATATTCTGTTACAATAACATTAGCACCACTGGCTTGGCAGATTTTTTCTTTGACTAAGAAAAATAATAAAAACGAATACTGTAAAAATATTCTCTCTTTTGATCCACTCTGTTCAGAATCAGACCAAGAAGCAGAATCAATAAGGGCACCTAAAATATTATCAATTCCTATTCCTAGTCACTGTATAAAAAAAAAACACAGGTGTTGATAATAAAATCAATGATGTTTGAATTTTACACTTAACAAAAAAATTAAATGCAACTCGTGTTTTTGCTCCCATTTTTCACTGGTTTAAGTTAAAGATCTGAGACTTTTTATGCTCCCCAAAGTTATACGTTTATCAAATTTTGGTCCAGGTTTGTTAAAATCCATTTTAGAAACAACACTGGAGGCAGTTTATGGTGGTGACATGAAGATTCATTTCTCAGGAAAACAGCTCTGGTAAACAATCTTCCCGCTACCATGCCGATAAAACACTTCCTAAAAACTTGAGACATCCGTTGCATTGTATTTGACCAAACCGCACATTTTAGAGTGGTCTTTTTTGGTGGCCATCCCAAGGCACACCAGTGGCGTCATGATGCTGTTTAATCAGCATCTTGATATGTCACACCTGTCAGAAGGATGGATTATCTTGGAAAAGGAGAAGTGCTCACTAACACTGATTCAAACAAAATTACCAAAATATGAGAGTGCATAAAAAAAGTCTTGAATCTTTAACTTAAACTGTGAAAAATAGGTGTAAAAACAAAAGTGTTGTGTTTAACTGTTCAGTGTATTTAGCTACTTCAGTTTAAGGGTCTTGGTGTTGTTCATGCTGGCTCACTGCCATGACTTGCTGGGGATACTGAATAGAACTGAGTTATTGGTCATGTACAAGTAGCTACAAGTCAAATGTCTCCTCAAAAATAAAAGTTATAACAGCAACTCCTTATATATAAATTCCTTAACCATGGGCATTTATACTCTATCATAAAAGCCTTCACACCTCTGGGGAAAATGTTCCACAAGATTTGAAGTAAATCAATGAAAAACAGACCCAGAGCAAAGCATACACAAAAAGCATTTTCTTTTACCAAACATAGTGGCTGGAGCTGGAAGCAGTGCAGCCGTGGGGTGGCGCTGTTTCTCAGTGTTACTTGTTCCGAGACTTCAAAGCCTGTTTAAATCAATGCTTGTAATTCCTGACAAACCAATAAAACAATTCTAGTTTTCAAACCAGCGGTGAGGCTGAATGTAGTCATCATCACTGGTCAATTATGATGAATGAACATGTCCTTATATCTTATTTTGTCTCCAGTCCATATTTGTTATTTTACAGGCAAACACGTCAAACGCAGCTAGACTATACTGATTATGCCCTCTGCTTTGCCTGTCAGGCAACAGTTTTCAAATGTATGCCACGGCATGAAGTGTGCCCCAGTTGAACAAGCTTTTAGTCAGACACTGTGTTGGGACAAAGTACACAAATCTTGCAATAGCCGGGCTTTACGTCTCTAAATCATATTGAAGCACGCAGGAACTGGTCGCACCATGACAGGAAGTGCTGCCTGAGACGCCAAACTCAGGGTTTCCCACTGCCGCAAGTTACCAGGCTGGGTTACCAAGGAGACGAGAGCTGTAGGCCAAGTCACTGCTAGCCGTTAAGCTCGGGGGAGGACAAGAGAGGACTCTCGGTGCTGCATGTCTTTGTGTAAAGGGAGTTTCCTAACATGGCAGAGCTGCACATCATAGGCCAAATCATCGGGGCCAGTGGTTTCCCGCAGAACAGCCTATTTTGCAAATGGGGAGTTCACACGGGAGGAGCATGGCGTCTCCTGACTGGGCTGAAGGAGGGTCAGACCCAGGTGGATATCCCCCAGATAGGAGACATGGCGTACTGGAGTCACCCGATTGATCTGCACTACACGACCAAGGGACTCCAGGGCTGGCCAAAGCTTCACCTCCAGGTGTGGCACCAGGACTCCTTTGGGCGCTGCGAGTTGTACGGTTACGGGTACTGCCACGTCCCTTCCAGCCCCGGACACCACCGGATAAGCTGTGTGACCTGGAGGCCGCTCGGCTCCTGGCAGGAGCAGCTGGCTCAAATGTTTGTCGGCGGAGGTCCTCAGCTCCGCAGCACGGACATTATCTACAGCGGGGCGGACAGATACAGACTGCACACCGAAGCTATGGGGACCGTGGAGCTGGAGCTCGGCATCATCCTGAGGCACCTCGACAAATATGGCGTCGAGAGTTAACACGGTGAAATGGAAAAGACTTTGGAAACTTTTATATTGTGCAGGTGGACGGATGTCTTCTGTGTTTTTAGTACACTTTTATACATTTTTTTCCAAATTCTATTGTGTTTTTATACACTAACGTTATTGTAAATAAAGAAAATATGGTCATAACGAAGTTGGCTTCTTGTTGATGTCATCATGAGACCACTCTCTCCTAATGTCAGATGGATTGTATTTTATGCACCATTGCTAATTCCTTGTAAATGAAAACCTACTTGGCAATAAACCTGGTTCTGATTAGCAGGCGTTAGTTAATGGATGGAGAGTAACCACATCATTCTCAGTTATAGAGCATACTTTTCTTCATTGTTAATTATAAGCTAGGAATTAAAAATGATTTAGAATAGCACAAGAAGTACAACCAAATTTGCTGTGCCATGCCTGAAATATATATATATATATATATATATATATAATTTAAAACAGACAGTAATAAATACATAACACAATCATCCAAATCCAAAAAATATACAAAAAAATACATTAAAAGTAGTACTGCACATGTTGACCTATTATTGCACGTTTGAGTTAAGCTGAATGATTCAAATCCAAATTATCCTGTCCAAAAGAAAATGTTTCCTACAACACACTACATTGCCTATAACTTAGACTTACTCACTAACTTATTTTCAATTATATGTTATACCTTGACTGACATCCATAAGCCAACCTCTTGGTTATGAGGCACCCAATGTGGGTGAATTTGTCATTGATATTTTTCAGCACATAAACACAGGATGAATTTAAATAAGTTACATTGTTGGCAATCTGGAAATCCATCGGTAAAAAAATTTTTTTTTGCAGAATCTGTCTTGAGAGATTACACTGTTGGTAGCTATGAAGATACAAGCCATACATGCATGAATCAGGCTGCTATATGAATAAACTTCCCCACACTTGTCTCATACACCCAGGACTTGGAAATGAACTGATTCAAGCTGTTGAAGGTATTTAACAAGCTCTACAAAGATCACCTACTTGAGCAACACGATCTTAAACTACATAATTAGATGGTTCTTACAAATGCAGTTTTCTGCAGATTTCACTGAACTGCATTCACACCTAAAATCTGCTACACAGAAGTAACTTGCACAGTAAAATCAGTCAAAACCTGGTGTGTACTGTTTACAGCTTTCAAGAGCTTTTCAATCTATTTGAAATCTTTCCAGGAGTTCAACATTCTTCATTGTTGCTGACACTGTCTATGGCAAAAAAAAACCCTCCATATGTGATTCCTTCCTCCAGGTATTACATCTCCCACTGAAAATCTCATCAGCACCTCGCATGTGCTTATAAATCTGAATCTACCCTACTACCTGACATATTTAAATCATGTTATTTGTGTTTGTCTGCTTACAAAGTCAGTTACTCTAATTTAGAGTTGCAAATAATGCACCAAAACCACAACTACAACCTTCATATGAGATGCTATACAGCATACATGAAATGATAAACTAAAATACTTTCTCATTTGCACAGTTCACTGCAAGTTAAATTGTTTGACATGCAGCCTAATTTCATAACCACATGCCATGTTTATTACACAAGTAAAAAAGTATAGATTGATGTGAAAGCACCGCAAACAGAATAGTAATTCAATGTAACTGTCACACAACAAAGTGTCATGTCACAGTGGGTTGTTTCTGATGTTACTGCAGTTGTTCTGTAGACTTGACCTGTAGCCTACAGACTGAAGAGTATATTATCTGGAATTCACTGCCATATTTGTGACATCATTCATTGTGACCTAATGTTATGTCGAATTATACACATTAATTACAAAGTCCCACTCAAACTCACACACCACAGGGGTAAAATGAGCCTCATTTCTAATTAAGCCTTGCTGCAAACACGGTTAGAGTATATTATGTACAAGAGAAAGTTCCCATATCATACAAGATAACTTAATATTGCCTCTATTAGCGTTAACTTCTAAGAAGCTACTGTAAAGCTACAAACAAGAAACCAACTTCAGCTCAGACAAGTTCCATGAAGCTAACGTTCACTCACCGGTGAAGAAGTCATGTTTCCTGATATTGGAGACGGACAGCCGGTGAGACCGACTTTTGTGACCGTTACAACCGAAATGTAAGTGAACACTACCTCTTTCTGGCTATGAATGAGACAAACGAGGGTGTGCTATTAGCTGCTCGGTCGGCTAACGCTAGCTCACTACCATATTAGCTGGTAGTTGCTGACAACAACAAAGTTCAGTTTCCGCGCCGCGATTGGGCGCTGAGCGTCTGCTCAGATTTCTTAAAGGGAAAGTTGGTGCGTTAATAACCGTTAGGTGCAAAACTTCAGTGTCACAGAGGTGATATTGTACAGGTGTGGTGAAATAAAACGTTTTACTGTCGAGCAATCAAGTGTAAATTATTAATATGATATTAGTGCAGCTAAGATATTCGAGTGAAAACTTTCATTTTAAAGTGTAGTGACGCGCCGTTATCGCCAGGTGTCAGCAGTGTAGCGCCGTTAGAAATCTGCCATGATGTGTCGTGTTTGTACCAAAGGTGTGGAAACCTGACAGATTTATAAGAAACTGATGCACTAAAGTCCTTTAAAATCTACGAGCATTGTCTTAAATTTAAACAGAGGTAATTTTTCATGCAATAAGAATTATGTGATAGCTTTTGCCATCAGCTAGTGCTACAATATAAGTGCATTTTTGCATAAGGACTCATTTGAAGCACTTGACTTTGCTTGAGTATTCCCTTTTTATTCCACTTTATACTTCTATACTACTATATTTAACTTTCTACTTCACTCCATTGATCTGACAGCCATTCAGTCATTATTTATAACATATAGGCTAATGCCTATAAAGCAGTAATAATAGGCTCCAGCAGACACGGCCAAGCTACAACATTAAAATGCTGCTTACATGTTAATCTGATAACATAATAACATAACACTGACATCGGATATGTTTCATGGGCGGGTCATGACACAATAGGCCCTAAGCGCAGTTATGCAAAAGGCCCCACCTCTCCTACATCAGAGCAAGAAACACAGGCTTTGCATTTTTGCCTCTTTTTGTGTTTGTTTTATGTCTTTTTGTATCAATATGCATCCATTTGCTGTTCTGTTTCTCTCTGTAATAGCATGATAATACATTTTATTTATAGAGTGCTTATAGTGCTCAACGACACTTTACATCAGTTAAAAATTATGATAAAATAGATTACAGTACAATACACACAACATCATTAACACATTAAGCCGTTTTGAAAAGATGAGTTTGGATGAGTGATTTGAACTGGGAGAAGTTGGTGCAGTCTCAAGTCTGTAATTGTGTTGTGTCTCTTTGCAGTTTCTTTGCATCTTTTTGTGGCAATTTTGAGTGTCTTTCTGGTTGGTATGCATTAATTTGGGTGACATTTTGCAGGTGAAAGCCAGAGGGCCCCTGACACTTTTATTGTAACAACAGTTCTCTGTTTTCAAGATCAGGTCACCCGATAAAGCTGGACCCATCTAAGCGTTTCAACAGGTTTGTGTTAGTATATTAAACAACTAGGAATATGCATCACCACTAAAGCACAGTATGAACTGAACCAATAAGCCTGGAGCTCTCGGGCACTGAGGCACTTATCTGCTTTCTCTGGTTTGTGTAACGCCTTGTGGTTTCACTGCAAAGGTACGGTGTTTTATCACCACAGTTATCCTCACTGAAATCTGGCCATTTTACCTGCAGACTAATCCTGTTTGTTTTGTCAGATATGGTTGGCAGAAAAGTCTAAAAATGTCATACCTCAGAATACAATAAGCACAACGTACACAGGGTTATGAAAATATAAAACACGTGGAGAGAGTAAACAAAACAGACAAATACTGATTTAAGTATTTAAGTGTGGTATTTCAAGGATAATTCCTTTACTGAATAACGCTGTTGACTCATCCAGTGTCAACACAAACCCTTTCTTTAATCAAAGCCTTTGCGAGCTCCTCCAGCTGAATGTTTGTGTTGTCACACAGCCAACAATTCATACCATAAATACTATCATGATTTTCCTTCCTTACCTCATATGACTTACTGTAATTATGTTGTGTTCATGTTAATTAAACACATCATCATGTTTCTGTTTTAGGATGTATTCACCAAAAGCAGGCTGCAATTCACCTGCTAACCTAAGAGCCATTAATCTATAAAATAAGAAGTCAAAGAAGTCAGATTTTTGCCTGGAGGCATTTACAGTAAGTACTTAACATAAAGTTCAGATAAGGATATCGTAGAGCTGCAGCATCAGCCTCTCCTTCCTACGGATATTTACTTCCTTTTACTCCTGTTGCAAACTATATAGTGTGTGAATCAGGGGAAACATTCCCTGTTTGTTGCACCCTGAATGTGGTAATTACTGTTCCTGCAAGACGAGTGTCAAAAGTTTCATCGACATACAGTTATTAAAGCAGGGCGTAGTTTTTATTAATCAAAAGGCCTTTCTGTCAGACATGAATTAAAATCAAATGTCCCCTTCTGCTAGTCTCAACTTGATTTGTATTACAGTACAGTATACACTCAACTCCATATACTCTGCATGAGGCGCACCCATGGTTTATATTCTCTTTAAAATAATACTACACACTGCAGCCTTTCTATGCGCTGCACTGTAATGCAGTACAATGCAATGCAACCCATCAAGAATATGATCATCTGACGGGAACACCTTAAACTTGTTGATAATTGTTTCCCGTAAGTTATAAGCAAGACGAGAAGGAAGGAGGAAGAGAAAAAGACAAATGAACCGGAATCCTTTTAACAACAGCTACTGCATCACACTCAGTAGTTGTAAAGGGACTGCAGGGTTGATTAACTGACACACCTAGGTGTTACGCACACACACACACACACACACACACACACACACACACACACACACAGGGAATCTCCACCATGCTAAGCAAAGGTCAACACCCTTCAGCCCCACTTAAGTCAAGGCCACAAGTCTTTCAACCAAACAGCCTTCTCATTTTGGCTGTGCTAAAACCTGTTGTTGTTGTGCTTATTGTTGAAGGGAAGTAGGACATACTTAAAATAACTCTGGGCTTGGTCCACAGACACACACAGTTTCCTTTTCAGTAAGAGAGGATGTTGATGTTATGTATTTTATCTGCTGAAGTCTTTGAGTCATTTATGACTGCTACTAAAACCTCTAATCGTATCTCACACTGTCAACTTTCACCAGGATGTGATTGGATCCGTTTGACAAAGTCCATAAAAATACTTCAACGTTTATGGAAGTTTGTGTATTGCAGGGGTAAAGAGGGATATAAATATATGACAGTAGCAAATTATAATCTGTACTGATGATCATATAGGGTCTACCTGATCTGCAAGGGAAGCCAAGATTCAAAATGATCTCAGATACAGATACTGTGATGTTATCATTTTAAAATAATAAATTATTCTTGTCTATAGTGACAAAGCCATACACGGGCTGGCACCACCGTACATTGCTGAACTTCTCTGCTCCTACTCCAACTCCCGACCTCTTAGATCTTCAGAACAGTGTCTTTTAACTGTCCCACGATCGAGGCTGCTGGGTAAGGGAGATCGTGCCCTTGTGGCAGCTGCTCCAAAGCTTTGGAATAGGCTTTAACTCTCAATCAAATGCTCCCCCTCCACTGGCACGTTTAAGACAAATCTTAAGACGTACGTTTTCATTTGCCTTTGGTTGCCCGTAGTGGTTTTAATATTTATAATATTTTTTATTCTGTTTAATACATGTGTACGTGTTATATTGTTATATATTTGTGTCAGTGTTTTAATTTGGGTAGCACTTTTGTCAACTGTGATTGTTTTTAAATGTGCTATATAAATAAATTGGATTTGATGTAACCCAAATGTTATTAAAATCACTTACATAATAACCTTAAATAGTTACTTAAATACTAAGTTTGATGTTTCTTTTTTCATTAATTGGGTGTAAAAAGCAAATGTTTTCCTTAAAGGGACAGTTCACTGAAAAATCTAAAATACATATTTTTCCTCTTATTTCTTGTGCTATTTATCAGTCTAGATTGTTTTGGTGTGAGGAGCTGGGTGTTGGAGATATCGGCCGCAGAGATGTCTCCCTTCTTTTGAATTCAATGGAACTAAATGGCACTCAGTTTGTTTTTTCTTGCTACCAAACTACGCTCACCAGCTGTATCCCCACACAGAAGAAAGTGTGCATCTACTTAAGGATGAGAAGCTTGTATTTGTGCCAGCGCGAGATGTAAACACTAACAGCATCCTCCTCGGCTGAGTTGTAACGTAAGCTAACTCGGTGGGTGAGCCTTCAATAGATGCATGCTTGATATGGTTGGTGGGTGTAGTTTGGGAGAAAGAAAACTGTTCTGACATGACACTGTTCACGAGTGCCATCTAGTTCCATTATATTACAGAGAAGGCAGACAACTCTACGGCCGATATCTCCAACACTCGGCAGCTCACACAAGAACAGATTAATAAATGGCACAATGGGTGAGAGGACAATATTTATTTTTTAAAGGTGACATCAAAGCAAAAGGCATCCATTATCATATCCCAGTGAGGCTGAGGTAATATTTCTGTCTGGGAATAGGAAATGACACCACATCAACAACTTACCTCACTGTAAAATAATTAGGGGGAACCCATGTGTGTCATGTGTATGTCTGCTGATGACAGCAGCATATAAGTGATGAAGTATGTGACCAAAGTCCCACAGCCCACACTCTGACAAGATGTGAATCACACACACAACGAGTTTCTTGGTTTTCACTGTTCCTGAATATATAATTTATACAGCAGTTTGATTTCTACTGGAAGAAAGCAACACATCCACCATGTTTGAAGGGTCTTATGTAACTCAAAGTAGATTTTTGGAAAATGGATTCGTTTTGTGAGAGAAGCATTCCACAACATCCGTCTTCCTCTGACCTTTTAAAGACACGCCTTTTGCTCCATCAACTCATTTAGAGCCTCAAAGAGGGAATTTCTCTCCATTGTTTCACAGCTTTGGGGTGAGTGTTGCACAAGACTGCAATCACAACAATGTGTTGGTTTATTTTTGAAGACAAATCCGAAACAGCTATTTTCCTCATGAATGAGGAAATGCGAAGACCTGTAAAGCCACTGAAATGTTTGATTGCGTACACAGCTCTGCATCATTGCACTGTTGTGTGTCGCATCATGGTTTCCCCCAGTGATTGTCAAA